CCTGGATATTTCAGTGTCCAGTACACCCTGGATATTTCAGTGTCCATTTCACCCTGGATATTTCAGTGTCCAGTTCACCCTGGATATTTCAGTATCCAGTACACCCTGGGTATTTCCACCCTGCCCAGTGCTGTGAGAGCAAAGGGCTGAGTGTGATTTCGATGGAAGAGCCCAGAGCAGTGGAAGTTGCCCAGAGGATGTGTCAGAGTCATCAGTGGCGAGCAGAGAGGAAATAGCTGGAGTTGGAGCTGGGATTGTGCTCTCCTGGCTTTCCTTTGGGAGTGACAGGCTCAGGTTTTGCCCCTCTGCCATCAGTTAAAAGGATGAGCTTGATTTAAAGTGGGAGGAGAGAGGGGATGTTGGATTAACACGTCCCAGGCGGCGTTTGAAGGCCGATTAAATGGAAATCTCTGCAGTTCCCTGAGTGTTTCATTGCAGGCAGGAGAGAAGATGGCTGCTGGAAAACAGGCAGGTTAGCCAGCCTGCCTCCAAATTACTGGAGTTCCTGTTGGGATCTATTGGATTTACTGTAATCTTTAATTATAAAGTGTAATTACTTTAGGATGGATTACCAATGTTGGTGTCCATCTCCAGGAGTTGCTTGGTAACGTCCCTGGAGCTGCAGCTCCTCCTGCTCTGCACTTCCAGGCTTTCAAACCCAGGCAGAGGAAGCCTCTGGCTATCAGTGTCTGCCTAAATGGAACATCTCCATCCACTGGAGTGAGCACACTGCCTTTTTGTCATCATTTTGCTGTTACATAAAAGCATTACCAGGGACACGGGCCCAGAGAAGCAACCTGAGAAGTTGCTCAGCTTTCTATTAAAGGTTTTCAAATGAATCCCAGCCTTTTTATAGCATTCTGCCCTGCTGTTTGCCTGGATATTTATATCTCCATGTGATAGTACTGAAGGCAAGCAACACAAAATAAACATGATGCTGTTTCATTACCTTTTCTGCAGATCCTGAATTATACAGGTTTATGCAAGTCTGATAAGGGAAAAATACATCCATTATTCCAAATAGAAATGAGTTATCCCGATGTGTTTGGGCAGACTTCTTCCTACAAGACTGACAGCTCCTCTTTTTCTCTCTCTCTTTTGTCATCTGGAAAATGATATTTTATACAGCAGGGGGAAATAAATGGTATTCTTGCAGCTTAAAAACACAAATTGGCACAGGGCTACCATGGGGCAGCAAGGATGTTAAAGGTGGGAAAGAACAGGTCCTGCTTTGGAAACTGGTAGGACAAATAATCTGCTTCCAGCTGCAGGAAAAGGAAGAGAGGTGGGGAAAAAACAAGTTAAGAATACAATGGGGAAAGAAATATTAAAATTCCACTTGCCCCCCTGCCCTCCTTTTTTTTTTTTTAACCCAAACTGGAAATTTCTTTGATATTTTATAGTGAAATATTTGAAGAGGAGTTGATGGAAGGAGGCTAAAGAGCCACAGAAGTGGTTGTCTTGTGAAGATAATGGCTTTGTGTAATGTTCCTTGGAAGTGCTTGAAAGGGGCTGATTGGTTGGTATATATAGATTTCATCCTTTAAGCATTTATTAATTATCCCAGTCTAGATGGATAAAATTAATCAAATAGCTGTTTGGGAATGCTCTGCATTTGGAAATCTTCCCTGTTAACAAAAGGATGGTTGGGGGAAGCTTTCTCTTCTTCCCTCTCATCTTTCTGCTTTTTGCAAGTCCATAAACCCAGTGATCTGGAGTGGTTTAATTAGGAAATGTGCTGAAGATTTGCACATCTCTTCTGAGTGAAAACGCTTTCTTGGTCAAGTTTTTTATCCCAAGACCTATTTCCTCATTTTCTGGATCTTCTAAATGCTTTTTGTTCTGCTGCTGCCTCCGTGAAACACAGGTGGCCTTGGAAGCCAGCTCCTTTTTGGGTTTGGATGGAGCAAAGAATAAGAAAAAGCTAAGAATCTAAATGGTGAAAAATGATAGTGCAGGTTTCCAGAGTTCAGTTTTGTCATTTCTAGCTGATTTTAATACAGACTTGTCTGGCTGAAACTCTCCAAAGTAACAAGTGACTTACAGGTGAAAGAAAAGAAAGAGCCATCTGACAAATGAAGTTATAAATTTGGAAGTCTCTGCTGTAAATCAGTTGAGACCCAGAGTGCTTTGAATACCAGGGCCAAATAGATAATTGTCTATTAGGTGGCAGATGGCTCAGTGGTGAGAACAAAATCTGAAATTATGGATCTATTTCCATAATTTTTGTGGTTCCGGTGCCATTTTTCAAATGCAAAGTGGCACAGTGTTAACACTGATGTATTGTGATGTGTCAGGACTGGAATGGCAGAAAATATTCACTCCTAATCCTGGTGCCTCATCAGAAATGAGCCTGGAACACCTCAGCACATGCATTCCCCTCCCTCCTGCACCTCCATCCCTTCCCTTCCAGCCTGGAATTTGGAATCTGTGCGCAGAGGAAGCTGCTGAGAATGTGGAGCCCCCATTTTTAGGGTTTTGCTGCATCCCTTGGGTGGTTTGGAAGCTGAGGTGCTAAATTTGGACTGGAGAGGCAGCTGCAGGGAGCCAGAACGGGCAGAGTGGTGCAGATGCTTTTTTGGCTCTTCAACTTTTCCAGTTGCTGCTTTTTTGGAGCCGTCAGCAGAGAGAGGAAAAGCTCTGGGATGCTGCTGGGAGATGAAAAGCTGCCACCTTCTGCATCCTGCCTCCCAAATCTGCGGGGTTTAAAGGCAGCCAGCACAGTGTGCTTCACCTGAAGGGAGCCTGATGAGGTGAATCCCCTGCCTCCCTGCTGAGCAGCTCAGGACTGAGCAGAGGCACAGCTTGAGACAGAAATCTTTTGGTGAGGGAACTTCTTGCAGCAGCTGGAATGGCTGAATAAGCAGAGGAGAGCTGCACGTGGTGGCTCCATCACAACTCTGAGCCCTGGCTGAAGTGGGGCACTTTGGGGAGGAGGAAAGGAGATTTTCCCTGATGTGGCTGTTGGAGGCTGAAGGGAAGCCCAGGGTGGTTTTCCATCCCCTCCCTGGCCTGGAGGTGTGTGCAGACTCTGGGTGCCAGGGAGCTGTGGCTCACCCTGCACCTTCTGCAGTGGAGGGGTTAAAGAAGTCCAGGGAAGGAAATAACTTTAAATGCCACACTCAGCTTAAAATGAGGCTGACTCAGAAATACAGCGTGAGGAGTTTTAGGGAACAAAACAGAATCATTTCCACATCCTCTGTGTGTCCAGGCTCCCCATGGAAGGGAGGGTCCTCCTTCCTCAGCTCTGAGAGGAGAAATGAGCCCAGGAGGTGCCTGGCTGTTTTCCTTTTGGTGCTGCTGGCTGTGGGAATGCTGCCTTTAAAAACACCATCCTTCCTGTGACAGCCTCAGGATCCAGCTCTGACACATCAAACCTGCACCCTGCATTGCCCAGGGACAGGCCAGAGCTCCTCAGAGATTCACCCTGTTGCGTTCATGAAGAATGAGAACTTCCCTTCTAGAACCTGCTGGATAAATAAAAATAAAATAAAAACCCAGAGATTTGGCCAAAATAAAGTGAACACCTCAAGTCTTCTGCCTGGGATGTGTCTGAGTGCATTTGGGGAGAGTTTTTTCCCCCCTCCCTGGGTTATTATTCAGTTTCCTCAGCAGAGCTCTCCACTGATTTAATCCATCCCACACCGAGTTTTTAAACCCCAAACTGGCTTTATTTGTTTGTCCAGCATTCCATCTCCTGGTGGTGTTGGAGCCTGAGCGTTATCAATCAGTTCAGCAAATGTTTATCCTCCTCCATCTGAACAGCTCCAGGAAACTTTACTTTGGAAGCTTGATGTTTAAAAAGGAGGGGGGAATCTGGGGATGTGGCTTTTTGCTAATTAAGGAGGATACTGCCAGGGGCTTGTGATGTTGGGTTAGTGAAACACACAGCTGGAGGGAAGAGTAAGAGCTGAGATGAGAGGAGGAATTTCAGACCAAAGTAACCTGCAGGTTCTGATCCTGAAACAGAGCAGCAAATGCTGCTGCAGACACGAGATGGGAGCGCTCTGTGGAGGAAGAATTTGGTTTAAACTGTCATTTCCCCTCAAAAGCCTGGTCTGAGGGAAGCATTTCAGACTTATCTTTGTTGGAGAACATGCTTGATTCTCTGAAGCCCCTTCTTCCCCTTTGTTATCTTTTTTCCCAGGGATTGAATCAAAGGATGTTCAGGTCAGCGCGATGCTGGGCTGGAACTGCTCAGAGCCAGGCTGGGGGGGTGCGAAAAATCAGCTTTATTTAAAGCACTCCTTGGAAGCTGACAAGTCCCACTCTCTCCTAAAGGACATTTGTAGGTTTAATTTTTCCTCCCAGCTGGAGCCAGAGGGGCAGGAGGACAAAAGAAGCTGTGATGTGTGTGTGTGTGTGTGTTGGAACTTGCACAAGCACTGCCCCACAGCCCCCAGGGGAAGCTCAGGGTGCTGGGCCCCAGCTCAAAGATGCCAAAAGGAATTGTTTGAGTTGGAAGGGGCTGCTCAGAAATCACCCAGCCCATTGCAGAGCTCTCTGAGGAAAGCACGGTGGAGTTTTGATAGAAGATAAGAAAATGTCATGGATTTGGTCTTTGTGAATGTATTCTTTTAATTAATGGAATGAAAACCTCTGTGCAGTCCCTGAGATCGGTTTCTCCCTGAACTTGGGGACAGATCAGCTTTGGCCTTACATTCCTAACCCATTTTGACAACCATTCTGAAATAGGGATGCTCTCAGAAAAAGGCTGGAAATTCAGGGATGGAGACAGCTTTCAACAAATCCCATGTGGTTTGCAGGGCCAGGGTGGAAAGTGGGGCTTTGGTGTGAGATGTGCCAGGTTCTTCACCAGCAGTGATGAGCTGGAGACTTCATCCAACCTCTGGATGCAGCCCCACTCCTCGTGTTCAGTGGGAATTAAGATTTTATCATTAATGGCCCATGGGTTTAGCAGTGAGTGGGAAACTCCCATCAATTCCCAGAGCTCAGGTTTGCAAATTCTCACTTGTGCTGACTGTTTTCATTCCCTTTTCCCCTCCCAGATGATGAAGTTTGCCTGGGATAACTACAAGCAGTACGCCCTGGGGAAGAACGAGCTGCGCCCGCTGACGAAGAACGGCCACATCGGGAACATGTTCGGTGAGTGGGGCTCAATTTACTGCAATTCCCCTTTTTTCTGAGGATTTGAAGGTCACAAGTCCAGGGCAGTTTGTCTCTCTGCAGTGTCTGGCACAGCTTTGATCTTGTCCCTCTGGCTGTTGCAGAGAAGCAAGGCTCTGAATCCCCGTGCTGGAGGTGACCTGTGCGTGTCCAGGGCTGGGAATCTCAGCCCTTGAGGCACCTCCCAGTCCCAGCCTGGCTCACCTCTGTGCAGAGCCAGCACCAAATGTGCTTGGGAGCAGTGCTGAAATCAAAGTGTCTTTATTAAAACATGAAGCCAGCCCTGAGCTGACAATGCTGCTATTTGTCTGAGCTTGTAGGCTTCAGGACCAGACCAAATTGAGCTTTTTCTCTCTCATTTCTCCACTGTTGAGCAAGATGTGAATTCCATGAAATATTGAGTGAATCAATATTAAAAGCTCTTTATACTCTGTGCTAACTGGCTTGTATAATTTTACACTTTAAAGCAGATTACCTTTTTTTATGTGAGCCACTTTCAGTGCTATTCCCCCGCTCATTCTGGTGGGATACTTGTTGTGGTTTTGGGGTATTTGTTGGCATTTGGGGATGTAAAATGTCTTTTTGTTGCTCTGCACTCAGAGCTTTTCCCTGCTCTGCTCCCTGAGCACAGCACAATGTGCCTCAGCAGCCCTTCCTTTCACTTCCCTGCCCATCCCTGGGGAATTCCTGCTGTGCAGAGGGCTCTGGGGCTCCTTTCCAAGGGATCTGTGTGCAGAGATGATCTCCTGGAGCTCCTCACCCACACCAGGGCACAGCAGAGTTCCTCCGTGGGCAGGAGCTGATTTCCCCAGTGCAGAGGATGGGACTGAGGCTTTGGGGAATGCTCCCATCCTGATTTGCACTCTGTGGGTGTCCAGGTCCTTTTCCACATCAGCTCCAGGACCTGGGGGGGAACTTCCAGCCTGTGGAGATCTGCTTTGTGTGGAGCCCAGCCCTGATCCTGCTCAGCTTTGGGGGCTGAGATGTGGGGAAGTGAAGGTGGGAATGGCATCAGGTGTCTCTGACACCATCAGCCTGGAGAAGAGAAGGATTGGGGTGACCCAATTTTGGCCTTGCAGGACCTGAAGGAGGACAAGAATGACGGAGAGACCATTTCCCAGGGTGTGGAGTGACACAAGTGGCTGCAGACTGACAGAGGGCAGGGTTAGATGGGGTATTAGGGACAATAATTTGCTTTACTGTGGGGGTGTTGAGGCCACATCTGACTCACAGCTGGCAGGGCTGGGCTGCAAGGAAACCCCCTGAACCCTTGGGGAGGTTCAGGGAAGGAGCTTTGGGATTGCCATGGTCTGGGTGTGAGCAGCCACTGCCCCTGGCCAGCCCCTCTCTGCCAGGAGCAGATTTGGGTGGGTTTGGCCTTGGCTTTGCTCTTTCAACCCCCTCCAGCAACAGCCAGGTTGGGTAATTGAGAATTTGCATGGAGTTCAGCAGCAAGTTGAAACATTTTGCAGCTCTTCCACTCTGGTGAGCTTGTCAAAATTCCTCAAAGGAGTGTGCCAGTAAACAGTCAAAAATATTGAAAGCTTTAAAATGCATTTATCATGCTAAAACAATTGACAGTACTTATGCTTGTTTGTAGTGTGCCTGTGAGCACTCTCAAGGAAAAATGCTTTGGAGCAGGAGGATTTGCAGACAATTGCAGAAAAGCAGCTCCGTGGTACATTTCAACCTTTCCATGGGCTTTTCCTCCTTCTGAGTGTGCCTGCTAAAGGAGGGCAGCATCAGACAATCCCTTGGTGCAGCCCTCTCTGTCCCTTTTGCCTTCAGAGATGTGAGAAACGAGGACAGGGCACAGTGTGGCCTTGCTTTGTTGCCCATTCCCCCTCCTGTCACATCAAGTGTCTTTTTATTCCAAACTCCAGATGGAAAGGAGGCAAACCGGGTGCTCTCCAGGCTGGAAATGTCAATATTAAGCTGAGATTTCTCTGCAGCTGCTTCCATGTGGGAGGGGAGGAACCTCTTTGGGGCTATTTTTGAGTGTGTTTGTGTGCATGGAAAGCAATCAAGTTCCTGAAGGGTGATTAAATTTTGCTGTTGTGGATGTGCTGCTGCTCACTTGGAGCCTTCAGTTTGGCAGCCTCAGCCTGGGGGGAGCTGCTCTGGATCAAATATTCCCTCTAGTCCAAGCAGAAATAAAAATGATCTCTGAATTCTGCTCCTACGGAGTGTCCTGCTCCTCCTGCCAGCCAGGAGAGAGCATCCTTCCCCATTTTCCTGCCCAGGAAGGAAAACTTGGATCCCCAACCCCATTAATCTCTCCAGAAATCCAACTTTGCCACTAACCAAGTATTTTCCAGCTGCTCCACAGGCAGCATTCCCCCTCTCCTGGACTTTAATCTGGTGACTTGCTCTCATGTTCCTGCTGGTGCTCGATGTTCTCCAGCTCTTGTTTCTAAGGCATCACTCTCATCAAAGCCTCTCCCACGTTTCTGGACGGAGTTTATTCTCACAGAACTCCTGTGATTGCTGTCATTTACAATCACTGCAGCTCGAGAGCCCTTTCCTTAAACCCACAAGCTGTGCTCCTTTCATCAGCATTAATTATTCATCAGTGATGCTTGTGATCAGAAGTGCCACGCTCAACAGCCCAGCCCGTGGCCTCCAGTGGGGTAAAGACGGTTCAGGCTTTGGGATGTGTGATGATTTCCCTGGAAATGATGCCCTGGAAGTGCTCCACGAGGGTGGGGGGATGATCTCTGCTGGAACTGGAGGTTCCAGTGCCTCCAAACCGGCTGCACGGCTTGGGGGGAGGGTGTTCAGGATGTGAAAAATGAGGTTCACGTAATTTTTATAGAATTTAGAAGTTTAATAAAAAAGACAATTAGGAGATAAAAAATAAAGTGAAATATACAGGTAGGGCTGGGTGTCTCAAAGGATTGTCCCTTAAAAACAGAACCCTGCTACATATCCATAAATTCTCACACATATTCAGACATTCTTTTCAGGATCTTTGGGGTTCTTCTGTTCAGTTTTCTCTTGCCCCCTTCCCGATAGATCAGTGCTCTTGGTTCCATCGAGATTTACATTCCCTGATCACAGAAATGCAATAAATTCCTCCCCCCCAGAGTTCTGGTCACTGCTGGCTTCATCTGGATAAGAGAATTTACAAATGCAGGAGTTCTCCAGCTATTTTTTTCCTCAGTCTTTGGTTTATACAAACAAAAGCAGTTTTTATTTTAATACTATGCCATAGCCCAACATATATGTATTATACCACTATTTCTAAATTTCATCAATAACAGAAATAAAGAAAACTCTATTAATACAACAAAAATTTCTCATTCTGACACACATAACATTCATTTTAATATTTGCAAAAAGCCAACAATATAAAATGTATCTATAACAAGGATTATCTGCAGGATTTCCCAAGGAAAAGCTGCAGGATTCCAGGCACTGCTCAAACCAAGCCCCAAACCTTCTGCTTTAGGAACATTTAAGGAAAATGCCACAGCTGAGCTTGAGGCTGGAGATGTGCAGGTGCAAATTCTGCTCCCAGTGCTGATGCAGTTACTATTTTAACCCTTGTCAAGCAGCTCAGCACTGCTGCCTTTGGTGCTGGAAGGATTAAATCCAGCGATGTTTGCAAATGTTGGCTCCCTCAGAGCAGGGAGGGCAGCTCTGCGTGTCACAGCCCCAGAAATGCACCTGTCACCAGGAGCTCCAGAGCACTGCATTATTATTCTGCCCACTCCCCAGCTCTGTCAGAGCCACTTATTTTTTCTGACAAAATGTTTTTAAAATCCTGTTAGCTTTACAGAGCTTCTGTAGCTACGGGAGAGTGAGCTGGCATCTCGTTCTGCTCGTGCATCAGCTGAATTGTCAGTTACATTTTGATTGCACAGTCTTTTAACAATGATAAGGTGAGAAGCCTGATTTTCAGATATCTCTTGAAGTGTGCAGTGCTGGCAGCAGAAGAATCTTTCTTTGACTTCTAACCTGAGCCAATTTGCTCTCAAATCAGTGACAGCAAATAAATATGGAACCTTGCTGTGCTGTTAGGTGTTTTTCACCACCTAAATGCACGTTGTTTTATTAATTCTAGTTTAAAAATAGCAAGCCTTAACCAGGTTTCTCCCCTTTTTTCCTCTTTCCCCACTCCCTATCATGCCTGAAATCACGAGTTGCCTTGTTGCAGCCATTGCTCCTCTCAGCATATGCTGAATTTCTGCAGCGTGGCGAGGCTGGTGGCAATCCAAGTGACAACTGTCACAGGCAGGACAGTGCCAGGTCAGAGAGCTCTGCCAGCAGCTGGACTGAAAGGACAGGAGGTGTTCACACCTCATCCTGCAGCAGGGCTCTGGTGTTGCTCCACGTTTGATTGCCTGGTGACAGCGCAGAGTGGAGGAATTCCTGGATAAATCCGTGGCTGTGTTTGTGTGCTGGGCTCAGACTCTGCCCTGAGCTTTGGAGACAGGAGGTCACTGGCCTCAGCTGCCTGGAAATGGGGCTGGTTTGGCTCTTCAGGATGAAAAAAAGGGGATGAAATGGCTGGGGAAGAAAAGCAGTGAGCACAGAGAGACCTCTGGAAAGGACAGAACCGATTGTCCTGAGGTCCAGAACCTTCAGGTTTGTTCTGCCTGGCAAATGCCACCGCACTTTGTCACTGCTCGGTGGCACTGTGACCTGCCAGGCTCAGGTCTGGAGGGAGATTCCAGGAATCCCACTGCAAATTCCAAACATCCCCACTGGATTTAACACCCCCAAGCTCCTGTGACAGCAGCTTTTAACAGCTCTGGGGTGCTGGACCCCAAAATCTCCCAAGTGCCAGGGTTGGTTCCTCCAATCACCCAGCTGAACCAAAAATTTTCCCAAATTTGAACATTTCCTGCCTCCTCCATCCAGGATTTGGCAGGCAGCAAACACACCCACCTCAATTAGAAGCAACAGGTCTGTGAATATATAACAGAGGAGAGGTAATTGAATGAAAATATTAATTCAGCAATATCCCAGCTACC